TCCAGTGCTGGTCTGTCTCACCTTTCAGCTCCTGCAGCTGCATCTGGTTCATCAGACCCAGCTGACCAGGAAGCGAGTTATGGTGTGGCAACCATGAGAACTTCATTCTTAAGTGCACTCCCAGCCCTCTCAGTGCTGCAGCTGCTTGCTGACAGGGGTCTGTGACTGACCAATAAACCCCCACAATGGAAGAAGGCTCAGAGGAGACAGGCAAAGGTGACTTGCCCAAGAAGCTCAGGGAGTAATGTGGGATGTGACTGACCTTGCTGTTACAAAGAAGCTGACAGCACAAAGGAACAGGAAGGTGGCCTTTGTTTTAAATAAACAGCTATCAACAGCTGAGTGGATCAACTGGTGGTATAAATGCTTCTCCCTGAGTTCATTAAGAGAGTGCAAATGTCTCCCTGAATTAGCCAGACCAGCACACTGGGCAACTGAATACGTGGCTCAGGCCAACATGCAGTATAAAAACCAGACAACTAGCAATGGGCTTGAGCTGGCTTCAACTCACGCGTTCATTCCCGGCAACTGGTGAAGCCCAGTGTCATGACTGGTAATGGGAAACATATTGGTATTGTGACTGAACTGTGCATTGCAATTGTTCTATTTTGCTAAGCGTTAACTTGTGTTTATCCCTATTGTGTTATGCAGTATATTTTGTATCACTCTGCTAGATCAGAAATCCTGTGCAGCATCAACTGTCTTCAGATAAGTAAATCTGATATTAAACATTACAGTCTCCATGCCTGGAACATCTAAAAGAACTTGATCAGAGAGCATGGGACACTGACGTCGTGCTGAAGCACAGGGAAATGCACAGATTAGAAGCAGAGAATGCAAGGACTCTAGGGCTAAATGAACCTGTAGGAGACAGGCTGGGAGTGCAATGCAGGCTTATTAAGTATAGGGTGTGGGGCATACAAGAGGACTGACAGAGAAAGGTGCCAGAATGTAGTTTTGGTTTCACATAATGCTGAGCATGATATTTCAGAAATGTGAATATTTTGGAGCGTGACTTCTGAACCTTTGGTCAGCCTTCACAATTTCAGAACAAAATCCCACCCAAACCCAAAAGCACAGGAGAAGTGCAAGATTGCCAGTCAATGCAGGCACACATATGGCACATCTCACCAAGGCAAGATGGTGATATGCTGTTCCAGCTCCCATTGTCCAGACACAACATCCTGGAGTCGCCCAACAAATAGTAGCCATTGTTGCAGTGATAGGTGATGGTACTGCCAGCAAAAAAGTCCTCAGCTGAATAAAATCCATTTTCTAAAGGTGGAGGCACTCCACAGCTGATTCCTGCAACATGAGTGAAAAGAGGGCACAGATATTAGCAGAGCAGACACAGATCAACTTCAGAATAATTCAACATGAGAGCCATCACTGCAGATTTTTTCACTGCAGCTGTGGAATCCCATCCGCAAGACAGCCCAGACCTTTTCTGAGGTAGCTACTTGATTCCAAGTCTGGTGGAGGGTCTTGTTTTGTGGGCACTTGTCAATCAGAGACTAAGCAGGACTCTTCAGATCCTGCTATTCTGCTAGCTCTGGAGGAGACATCTGCGACTAAGATCTGAACAGATACCCTTCAGTCGCAGGACACTTCCCTTGATAATCAATGATCTTTGGTGAATTTTAAGGAGAAAGGAAAAGTAAGTTTGCCTCCATGGAGGTTCCTGTTATTTCCCCTCCCTGAAAAACAAGCTTAACGTTGCTGTGTTTGAACATTGCAAAACTAGCCAACAGACTACCGCTAAGAGGCTACAACACTGGTCTGAGACCAGGGAGTGCACACATGATGGAGAGATTGGAACTGACCTCACATACAACCTTGGGCATCACTTTCACTTTGACTACAGTAAATAAGCCCTTCTGATCCCAGCTGTGCCAGCAGAAGGCATCATTCTACCTGCCTGCCGGAGGCAGCTATTTATTCTAGCAGAGCTGCTTCTGTGCATCTTCATTTCAATCAAGATGTCATGAGCCTGTTCCAATGGCTACACAGCTCATCTTTGTAACTACATGGATTGTAGCAACTCCTTGCTCCGCAGCCGAGTGCAAGGATCATGCAGTAATACACTGTGAAGTGTTTAGATACCATGGCCATGGAAGCCAAGTACTTGCTGTAGAGGGATAGAACTAAAGAGCCTGTAACAAAGACAGGCTGTCGGGGGATGGGGACCTATGGTTTTGGGGGTCTTTGGTAGCAGGAAAGAGGAAAAGGATCCTGGTGGGTGGAGGCAGCGATTACAATGAGCCTGATTCAGCCAGTAGAAGAACCTTTTCTGTACCACGCTTTCCACTATAAACCCTGTAGTTCTTTATGCAGGAAATAGCTATCCTCAACCCACTTTCATTCGTCACGTACTTGTTGAATGGGCTGAGAAAGGCCAGTGGGTGAGTCTGGCTCTCATTCACTCAGCGTGTTTGTGGCAGGTCAACCCTGTTCTGTCTGAGCTCTGTGCTCAACAGGTGAAACTGCCTGGCCCAATACAGAGAAATCAGAGGACAACTCTAACAGGATCCTGGTGGTTTGTCACTGACAACACACCAAGAAAGGGCAAAGCTGTCTCTGCCAGTGAGCTTAGGCTCTGCCTGGCAGGACTTGCTTTTGGGTAAATCCTCACATGCATGCTATTCTTTAGGCAGAAGAGAAGACAGATCCTGGATTTGCACTATGAACAACTGAACAAAGAGGAAGACAAGAAAATCACATCAAATCTAGATCAAACTATTTTTAACGTATTTTTTAAAAATTCGATTATTTTCCCCAAACTACTGATCGATTTTGTAATCACGTGATACCTACTTCTGGAGCTAATGTACTATTCTGCTGAAATGAAAAATACAGTGAGCTCCAACACACGCAACTGCAGTCACATGTGCAGTCACAGCAGAGAAGAACCAAAGGAAAGGAGAAAGCAGGAGCAGGAAAGTAGGAATCAAAGAACCTTGGCAACCTGCACGTATACAGCTCAGTTTCTCAGAAGAAATCTCGTAAATCTTGGAGCACTTCTCAGTCCTGACAGAAGAATCTGCTGCCTTTAAAGAAATTATTCTGTAACATACTAATGCCAAGGCTTTTACTTCATACCAGACATTCCCAGTGACACTTAAAAATCACAGAGATATTCTAGCATTTCCTGTGTATCTTCCACACTCCTGGTGCCACTGGGTAGGAAAGTTCAGAGTATCAGACTGCTGATCCAAATAGACTAATTTCTGCCATGGGCATTAGAAACTGACTGAAAAAGGTGACACAATCCAATCATGGTGTAGTGTCTGCTTAGTAAAACATTAGTTTAGTTTTAAGCATGTATGTATATGCTGTAGCATAAATGGATTCAAGAGCATCATAGCTGCAGTGATAAACAGGCTATGAATAGTGAAAGTCCAAATAAAAGCTAGGGTTTCCTAATCCTGCCAGCCCACTGAGACAACTCACTTTCACAGCGGGGAAAAGGCCGTGTCCACTGTCCCAGGTTAAGGCAGTGTTGAACAGAGTTTCCCACTATCTGGAAGCCTGGGTCACAGGAAAGGCTGACTTTTGACCCTGGCTTTAAATCAGCAGAAGAGGCCCGCAGATGTGGTATGGATCCTTGCAAAGACGGACAGTCTGTGGACAAAATATATGCACACGTTATGAGATACAGCTATGTGCTGAAACGAATAAATTTGCTATCTGATTGTTAGATCCTCTGTAACTTTATTCAGCAGAAAGCTTTGGGAAGTGTTATGTATGCTACATCCTGCTCGGGTTCAAAGGGTTTTGAGAATCATCAACATATAACATCAAAAAAGGGATCTGTAGAAAAAGAGGTGAGGAGGCAGGAGGTATTTTAATGCTGTCCAATTAGTTTTAGAATAAAAGACAAGAAGAACTTCTCTCTGACCCAACACCATCTTCACTCCTTCCCCATGTCAATTCAGGAAGCAATAAATCTCTGTCAGAGATTCCAATGAACTTTTGTTACAAAACCCTGGAATTTGAGGAATGAAGAACTGAATGTTCTAACTGTCAAATTATCAAAATAATTTATTCAAGGTTAGTAGGGCAAAGGCTGCAAGCTAGCCTATTTGACCTCATAATTTTATGAGTCTTATAATATTGTTCAGAAAAAGAAAGGGTTCTAGGAAATAAAGTTCTAACCAGCACAAAATATACTCTTGTAATCTATCTTCACTCTTCCAACAACTCCTAGTAGGAAATCTGGCCAGGCTAGGACATTTCCTTTTTGCAGTTCTTCTGGACAGGATGTAGCCAGAGATTTTACCTATGGATTTAAAACAGTTGATTAGGTGCTGCTTAAGGATCATGTAGGAAAAGAATGTAAAAAATATTCCTTCCATGTCTGCATACAACACTAGAACAAATCACTGAGTAAGCAATGTTCATCCTTTCTAGCACAAGAAGCTTCTGGTTGAACTACTTGTTATTCTGTACTTACAAGCCAGCTAGCTGTGGACAGCCAGGTACTGAGGCAAAACCTGAAGGAACACTTGTCATACAAGCAAAGTATAAAACAGTCTTGAAATACTGGTTAGCATGAAGGAAGAATGCATTTATGTCACAGAAAAAGGCAGATATAAGAATGCAACCTGAAGAGAAAACTTGATGTATTTGCAGAAAAATGTCAAATAGGAGCCAAAAGGAACTTAATGTTGACGAGCTGCATTCCGCAAATTCTGCTAGCACTGCACCACGTTTAAATAACAGAAACACAAAAAGGAGCAGTTTAATTAAGTAATTTGTTTTTTCTAGGACAAGAGTTTTGTAAATTCAATGCACTAGGGTCTTCAAAACACTGCAGGCAAGGCCTACCTACACCAATACTAACAGCAGTACTGGCTTTGACTTTAACCAAAGCAAGACAGGGCCATAGCTAACCATGTACAGAAAAAGGAATTATATAGGCAAACTAAGGATAGGAGAAAGAAAGCAACATGCTGTTAGATCAATAGCAGATTAATATCTTGAGAGCAGAGCTCGTTGAATACCTTTGATGGAAAAGTCTTCCCTTTAAAACATAAGTCCTTTAATGGCACCTCTAGAGGTTTCTTTGGCATTCTTACTACAAGAAACTGAAATGCCAATGGGAATCCCTAAGCTGTTTCAGTTTTGTATTTTAATGTAAAAAAAGTATTATTTCAATACAATAAAAATATTTCTACTTCTTGACTGTGACTGAGAATTTACTCACTATCTGGTGACCAACAGAAGGAGCTTGAGGACTACAACCTTAGATGGCACAGTACTTTTAAGCTATTCAAACACCAGTATTAATTATATGCAGTAGTAAGAATATGAAGACAGACTCTTTATGATGGGATGTCACGTAAATATTCCATAGCAGACCCTTGAAAGGAGTTCAGATGTCCTGATCCCAACATTTGTAAAAAAGAAGGCTGTCTAGTTCCATTGGACGCTCAGGGAGATTTCTGCTACAAGAAAGTGCTTTAAAACTGCAAATGAAGGACCAGGGCTTTGGACTCACTCTGCACTGCCTTTGTTCACTATAAGGGACAGAAAAGAAACATAATCCCAGAAAGTGCCTGGGAGTAAGGTGTATTATTGGCACAGTGCTCCCCATTATGCTTCTCCCTATCAGGGCAGACACAATCATATCTCAGCCATGAAACTGGTGAAAAAACCATACGTGCCCGGAGGAGGATAAATATCCAATAAAGGGATAATTAAGGATTTCCTTTTCTGTTAAGATATCACAGAGGGAAGTGTTCTATGGAGAAAAGATGGTTATTCAATTAAGAACATGTTAGTAATTAGGCTACTGAGACTACTTCCTACTCTTTGGCTCTTCTATGCTGGAGGGTCATTCCAGTAATTCCCTGGCATGGAGAAAGGAATGTTTCCTTCAGCAGCATGAAAAAAATGAATGAAGAAGAGCACAGGTGAGCAGCCCAGTGGGCTGTACACATCTCAGCATAGCCAGCCTACCCATACAATAAACACAGCACAGCTTCAGGGCACAGCCAGCTGGTTAGAAAGCGTAGGTGTGCCCAGTTCACACTGAACAGTTGGAAAACTGCCTTTCTCAGAAGAGTGACTGGCTTCTGTCAGGTCTCCAGTGGATGAAATCAACTACCAAGAATAATGTGCTATACAGCCTGTCTTTGTGAGAAAGGAAGGTACGCCATGAACCTCAGACTGAATTATTATCACATTCCCCCTACCCTGAATGCCAGTGTGAGGCAGACCAGACTCTTCTAGAGTTAGTTTAGCTGGAGAAGAGAGCAACCTGTTCTGTTTACTCTGAGGCCATTTCAAAGATTTCATGTCAACAATATGTGCTGATGGAAACTGCTTAGGCCAAGGGCTGCAAACAAACTGCAAGGGATCTGCAGCAAAAAATTTCCAGTGGGGAAGGCAGGTTTGGGAATCAGCCCTTCTAAGCCATATGATGGAGAATGAAGGGCTGGAAAGGACCTCACATTACCATACATACAATTCATATTTCTACTGCTGTGTACTCAGCAACAAAACAACCAAACTGTTAGTTACCTATACAAAATTAATGTGCGAGTGGATGAGCAACTGAAGTACACAAAGAAAAATCTTAAAGAGTGGACTTTGCCTTTATGTTATTCACTGGGCAACATATTCTGTCCCTCTTCTTTCCTTTATGGCTCAGAATAGGAAAGTAAGACTTACTGAACAGTTCCAGCTGGCTGCAACAAAACTGATAATAACAGGTAACGATAGTGATTTACTATCCCATAAATGAAGGGTAGGAGCAAATGGGAATTTAATAAAGACAGGTGAGTACTGAGAAAGACTCACAAAATAGCACTTAACTTCTTCACCAGTGTGTCCTGTAAAATCATATTTGTACTTATCAGCTTCAAAACTGCTAGTGAACAAAAAAGATTTGACTTGGCAATGCAACAATTGGTGACCTCAAAAGCCAAGAACAGCAGCAGAGTGCTGGGCAGTTCTGAACCTAGCAGAAAGCCAAAGCAGCAAAGAAAAGGAGAAAGCAGCAGAGGAGACATTTGGATGCTGGTAGCAAAGATTCTGCTTCTATTTTCTGTTGATTTTATTATTTCTTATTTGGATCACGGATAATAAACAGTGATAAACCACCAAATAGTGGTAAAACCTTAAAAAAGCACCAGGAAAAGAGTAAAACCTTTTAATCTAAAGACCCTTCCCTCAAGAAATGCCTCCAAGTTTGAACATCAGTCCTTGCTGTTCAAGTGTTACCAACAGTTCCATCATTTCTGACCTTCAGGAAGTGATGATGGAGCACACTGTGATCAGGTTTGCAGGTAACATCAAACTGGGAGGCCCAGTCAGTATGCTGAAAGACAGAGCTGCATCCATAGGGACCTCGACAGGCTGGAGGAAGGGTCAACACAGACCTCATGAAATTCAACAAGAAGAAATTGGAAGGAAAAAACTCTGAACGATGCAGGCTGGGGAAAGCCTGGAGAGGGAGCAGTTCTGTGGAAAAGAATCTAGGGGCTCTGGCAGACAGTGAACTAAGTATCAGCCAGCTGTGTGCCCTGGCAATAATAAGGACCAATAGCATCCTGGGCTATGTGAATAAGGTCACCACCAGAAAACCAAGGAAGAGATTATTCCCTCTTTTTAGTGCTTATTAGACCACATTTGGAGTATTGCATTCCATTTGGGGCTACTCAGTACAAGTCAGACATTGACAAGTTGGGGCAAGTTCAGGGAAAAGCATCAAAAAAGTGATGGGCTGGAGCATTTGCCCTGTGAGAAGAGGCTGTGGGACCAAGGCTGGTTCAGCCTGCAGCAGAGACAGCTTTGGGGACACCTAACAGCAGCCCCTGGTACCTCTGGGGAGATAATCAAGCACATAGAGTCAGGCTCTTCACAGCAGTGTATGGTGTCCGGGAGACAGAAACAGTGGTCATAAATGGAAATGGGAGGTCCCAACTACATATAAAGAAAAGAAAAATTCACCCTGAGGATAAATAAGCGCTGAAGCTTGTCTCCCAGAGAAGCTGAGGGATCACTGTCCTTGGAGATATCTTTTGATCTACACTAAGGGACCTTGACAGGCTGGAGAGGTGGGGCCGTACCAACCTCATGAAGTTTAACCAGGCCAAATGCAAGGTCCTACATCTGGGTCGTGGCAATCCCAGGCATAAATACAGACTGGGTGGTGATTGGATCGAGAGCAGCCCTGAGGAGAAGGACTTGGGAGTACTGGCGGACGAGAAGCTCAATATGAGCCGGCAATGTGCTCTTGCAGCCCAGAAGGCCAACCGCGTCCTGGGCTGCATCAAGAGGAGCGTGGCCAGCAGGTCAAGGGAGGTGATTCTCCCCCTCTACTCTGCCCTCGTGAGACCTCACATGGAGTACTGCGTCCAGTTCT